AAAAAAGGAAAGAAAAAGGCAGTTTTGGGTCTTTATCACACCAAAAATGGTTCCCCTCAGACCTGAGAAAAAGACCAAGAAGTCCAGTCTGGGGCGGAGATACTGGGAAACTCAGAGCTCATCTAACCTTGCGCCGCCATTAATTTCACCTTCATGGTGATGGCTAAGCTAGGCCCCTTTTCTTGGCCACCTGCACTGTCCAGAACTGGAGATGGAGAAATACAGAGCGAGGAGATCAGGGGAGCACCCCAGGCACAGGGGTTCCCCCCCCAAGGTTCCCTCAATCCTCGGGTGGGATGCGCAGGGCAGAATACACCATCACCTGACTGTCCTCCTGCCGTCGGCCTGCAGAGGGGAAGGGAGGTGAGTCTTGGGCAGGGTGGAAGCAGAGCACTGACACATGGAAGGTCCTGGGTAACAAAGGGGTCCCCAGATGGTGGGGATAAGTGCAGACTCAAACCCACCAGTCACTGACTGGCTGACCCCAGGCTGCTCCTGGTAAAGCCTAAAGGTCACCAATGGACAAAGAAAAGCCCTGAAGGTGGTGGGACAGACCGACGAGAAGGAGACAGAGAATGGTGAACGGTGGGCCGGGGCTGGGGCTGGGCTCAGTCATGGGCAGTGGGCAGACAGGTGGGATCTGTCAGGTGATCGGTCCAGGTAGTCAGTCCTTACACGAGAAGCTGCGCTGGATACTTCGGAGGGACCCTCCAGCTGTAATAAAGGCCCAGAGCCCCATGGAAACCGTGACTGCATAGATGGGCAGCAGGCTGGCCTCGTACCAGGGGTTCAGGAATGTCTGGGGATGGGAGTAAGAGTAGAAAAAAGGTTAGATGCTTCCTCTGCCTAATCCCCATGTACTCTTTGTGCCTTTGACCCAAACCTCGCCCAGACATCTCACTCAAGTCCCCCAGGCCTTCCCTTCAGCACCAACATCTTGTGGTTAAGGAGACTTCTGATTTTCAGCTTCCTCCGCTCCTGCTCACCTCACGCCATCTGCATTACAGCTTGACCCATCCATGCAAACTCCTCCCCAGGGCATCCCAGGGAAGGTTACTTCGTTGGTGCTGAAGTGAGGGACCTCTGAAGACTCGCCTTTCTGCCTTCTCCCCAGATAAGTTTTTAAATGTTCAGAAGTGAAGATACGGTTCCCCTCCATACAACCCACCATTCAATTTTTCTCTGACGTAGGCCCCTGTCCCTGACTCACCAGTCCTGACGTCAGTAGGTGACTCCCAACCACCAGGCCCAAAGTCCAGTACCGTCGCCTCTCACAGGCATCAAAGAACACAACTCCCCAGAAGGTATGAAGCAGGATGATGGCTGCTGTCAGGAAAGCTGCAGGGAGCGAGAGGGGGAGGGGATACATCCTTCACCTTCTCCCCCAGCCTCCGAAGTCTCCCCGGGAGGGCCAATACATGAGGTCAGGGCCAGGATGGGTGGGGCATGAAGTCAAGAGAAAAAGTGGGTCTTACCTGATGTCAAGAAGTAATAGGGTGAATCTCCATGGATCCCAACCACACCTGGCCCCAGTGCATCGGCCAAAATATTGATAACAGAGAAGACACCACTGATGATACCGAAAGAAAGACCAGAAACTGGGGGGAGGGAGGGGCTCATCAATGTCAGAAATCAGTAGAGCCTGCTTACCAGTGATCCCGCCCCGTTTCCAGGCACAAGCCCCCACACCTGCTCTCCCTCCAGACCACCTCTCCTTGGAAGTCAGACATGAAGGAAACACGTAGCCACTTAGAACATGTGGGCGCTTAGAGACTTCCCAGAGAGAGGAAGCTGTCCACTGCCCTCCTCCAGCCCATCTCCCTTGGCTCACCATAGGCCATCTGGCGGATGGAGATGGGTGATCTTCCGTCCTCACTCAGCGACGCTAACCCCTCATCTGCCTTCCTGGGGTGGGGCGGGGCGGGGCGGGGGACACATGAGGGAAGGCAGGAGGCTCTTTCCCGCTAATATCCTCCCTTCGTGCCTCTCCTTCCAAACCACCACCCGGGGGCTGCCCCACTTCCCAGGGTGCAATCCTCTGCCCTTCTCCCTTCCAGACCATCCATCTTCTTACTTAAGCAGCTTGTAGTAGGCAAAGCGGAACATCTCCTGTAGAAGGACAGAGACCGCAGCACCAAAAATCAGGAGGCCATACTGGAGCCGGGCATCTGACGGGTCGGTCACATGGACCAAGATGAACCAGACCACAGAGGCCAGGAGCAGAGAGACCAGCCAGAAAAACGCCCTGAGGAAAAACGGGGGCCATCAGACAGGCAAAGGGGAGAGGCAGCCCGAGAAATCAAGGAGGGGAACCAACCAAAGCTGCAATGTGGAAAGTGGAAGTTAGACTTCCGGATGGTCAGGGAGACAGGGAGCAGATAAGATAGGTGTCTCCACCAAGGGAGTCTCAGGGTCCCGGACCCAGGGGATGGGGGAGAAATGGACTCGAGAGCCTTCAGACCAATGAGACTGGGAGTGTATGCGCACAGTAGGGCGAGGTATCCATGCCCGGATCCTCGCTTAGGGCCGCCCGAAGTCCCACAGCCCCTCCCGAGCCCTGGCCGCGGCCGCCTCTGACGTCGCCGGAAGAAGTGTAGAAGGAATCTGTGCGATCCCTGGAAGGCGGAAACCAGCTGCGGGAAGGGGCAATCGCCCAAAACCCCGACTCAGCCCTTCCCGATCTTCACCTCCGACTTGCCTCCCCCAACTGCGGCTCCCGGGGTAACCCCACTTCCTCCAGCCCCTTCCCGATCTCTCTCCTGGGCGCCCTCCCGAGTCTCCCCGACCCGTACTCACCCTGCGACCAGGATGATGACACGAAGCGGGTCCCCAGCCACAGTGATCAAGAAGAGCGCGAAGGCCGGGCCGAAAGCGACAAAAGTGCACCCGAAAAACACTGCGGCCCCCATTGCTGGTCAGCTGGGGGCGGGGTGGAGGCCTGGCCAAGAGAGGCAAATGGGAGGAGCACGCCCGCCAGAGAGTCCGCGTGGGGTGGCGACGCGACCCCGTAAGGGGCGCGGTGCAATGTCACCCCCGGGCCCCGGGGAAGGGGAAGGGGGGGCACCGAAACCCCAAATACAAGTCCGCGCGACTTCCTCTACGGAAGCCGAGGAAGGGACAAACCCCTGCCGCAGCCCCTTGGCCACCGCCCATCTACTCCCCGCCCCGCCCCCCGGCCAATGGAAAATCGGAGGGGGCGGGGCGGGGGCGGGATGCAGGGCCTGCTGGGAGTTGTAGTCCTCCCGCCCTTTTAAACCCTCAACTTCGGTGCTGGGCGTGGCTCAGGCCACAAAGGGAATTGGCCGAGACTGGGCCTGGGCGGGGCATGGGTTGAAGAGTTGGATTGTGCCTTGGCTGCGATTTCCTTTAGTTATTTTGTGGGAAAGGCTGGTAGCAATCCTACCTCGGCTTGAAGAGCTGCAGAGGGGGGAAGATCCTGTAGGAACCTCAGGGACAAATACGAAGAAAGCACAGGATAGAGGTTGCGAGGAGATAGGCACGGGTATTGTTCTGACTTGAATGAGAGGAAATGGGCTAGAGCTACTGCCTAAGGATGAAGGTTAGACTTAAAAGCAGGAGCTCTTCCAACAAGCCAGTATAGGAAACATGCAATAGCGTGTAGTATATCGCCAGTGAAGCCTTCATCGGTAATGACAAGAGAAATAGAGAGAGGGAAAGGGAGCTTGGAGAGCAATATTAAGGAGGTCAGAAGGGATTCACAGTTAAAATTGTAAAAAGCAATTAGAGCGAAGGCGTTGAAGGAAAGTTACTTCCTCCCCACCCCCATCCCAGTCACTCAGTTCCTTTGATGTCATATTTCCTCTTTTTCCTGAAATGAACCTTGGCAGTGTCTTTTTCTCAGGCTGGGGGACAGGGCGGGGGTTACACATTAGAGCGAAAGAAAGAGTAAGAGAGGAGGGTGTTAGACCCTCATTTGGGTGGGTGGGGTTAGTCCTTAGTGAGGATGTTGAGGCAAAAGTACCAGGAGGTTGTTCAAGGAGAACCAGGCTTCCTTTCCTTCCTGGAAGTGATTTATGTTTTAATGCATATATATCCACATAAGTGTTTTCACATTTTTCTTTTTTTCAGGAAATTCTGGAAAGGAGCGGAAGGAATAGATTGTATGGATTTACATGGAAAGTCATCAAGCAAATCCTCTCCCAATAAGGCTGAGAGGGAGGGGGCACCCTGGCCAGTGCTCAAAATTCTAGTGTGTCTTGCATCTGAGTCTACCAGGTCAAGTCAGGTTAGACTTAAAAGCAGGAGCTCTTCCAACAAGATGTGGGGATAAGACAACTCTTCCTCTATCTCCTTTGAACCGGTACCACAGCATCTCCTAAGAGAGGAGAGCAGGTGCCAAATCTATCTTGTTCATGTGTGGTTCCACAGAAACTTGCAAGTGCCTGGCTCATAGTAGATATTGAAAAACATGTATTAACGCCCTTAAAAAAGCACACACACACACTGTATTTTTTTAAATGTATTTTATTGACTTTTTACAGAGAGGAAGAGAGAGGGATAGAGAGTTAGAAACATCGATGAGAGAGAAACATTGATCAGCTGCCTCCTGCACACCCCGTACTGGGGATTGAGCCTGTAACCAAGGTACATGCCCTTGACCGGAATCAATCCTGGGACCCTTCAGTCCGCAGGCCGATGCTCTATCCACTGAGCCAAACCGGTTAGGGCCACACACTGTATTTTTTTTTCTTATTCTTTTGCCTGTGAACCTGAATTGCCTATCAGACTCGGCCTAGCACTTTGTGCCTAGCCTGTATGTTACTAAATGTTTCTGAATAGAATTCAATAAAAATGGAAAATACAAAAGTAGAGAAAAGGATAAGATAAGCTGTACTCCTGTAAGGCTGGAATGAAAGGAAGACACCAAGTGACTGAAAGTGGAAGAGGTGTGGCCCTACGCAAAAGACACTATCTGCTCTTTCCCTTCCATCCTGTATTCAGCAAGTTAAGAAAGAGGTGAGGTGAGGTGAGTACTTACCAGAGAGGAAATAGCTGGCCTTGGCTGAGAGATTTTGATCAAAAGCAATGCAGCAGGTGCTTTGAGAGTCAGACAATGATGTTGCTATTGCTCCGGTACTTCACAGCCCAAGGCAGGCAGAAAAGAGGGACTCTTTTCAGCTAGAAAATGCTCATCCCTTCTCAGAACATGTCAACTGTGAAGAAAGAGACTGTGATACAGCCTCAGAGAGAAGGGCGACTCTGGAGGGTGATGGTAACTTAGGGACAGCGAGAGGGGAGGGGAGTTTTTGTGAGGACTGAGAGAGAGGGAAGGGGAGGAAGGGAGAGGGCTTGCTAAGAGAAGCTTCTCAGTAGTAGTTTTCGTTAGTGGCGGCAGGAACCCTAAATGGACCTAATCTCAGGCCGGGGGAGCTCAAAGAGCGTGTTCCCATCGAAGCCCACTTCACTTTTCTTCACAGGGGCAGCTCTGACTGAGGACAAGACCAATAGTAACTGAGGATCTAGTCCGTCAGCAAGTAGGAGGGGAATTCCCCCCCTGAGAGAAGAGTTGCTGCAGCTCCCTCCCTGCTTTGGAGGAGGGCCGGAGGCGGGGTAAGTTTGGTGGGAAACGCTGTAATTTCCTTTTTAACTTTCACAGTCATAGTCCAGCATCCAGAATGGATGTCCTCCTTGCAGCCATCCTTGCTGTGCCACTCGTCCTGGGTAAGTTCACTTCTCTCCCTGAGCTTTAGGGCCAGGTCTTCTACTGTAAATGGAATGGGAGGGGGGAAAAATGAGGAGCGGTTGAGAGGTGCAATTCAATGGGGAGTGATAAACACTCTCCCATCTGTGCTGCAGGCCAGTGTCGGGGGTGGAGGGGAGTCTGGGAAATACAGCCAGGAAAGGGGGAGGGAAGCAGAGTCCTGTCAGAGAAGAGACAGCTGATGAGGATGAAGCCCCAGAGCGTGGAGGTCCTAACAAGAGTGAACTCAGCTCTCCATCACTACAGAGCTGAACGAGATGAGAGGGTCTGGACAGAGAGTCTGGACTCTGAAGGTGGGGAAGTTTGCAACTAGTGAGGGGAGCCAGTCTATCTTCTTTCCAAGAATGTTGGAGGGGGTGGGGGGGGGACTTGTATTAGTAAAGAAATAGAAATGGAGGTGACCTTTAGGGGAGTGAAGAACTGGGTGCCTTCAGGGACAGGGTCTGAAAAGTAGCTTGGCTCCTTCCCTTCTTTGTTCCCAGTCTGCCAGGTGCTCTTATTGTTTCCTTTTCCTCCAGATTCTTGTGTCACTGCTTGTGGTTAAGGACTTCAAGGGGCTTAGGGAAGTGTTTTAGCAGGAGGCCTCGAGTTCTTGATCCAATCATGTCAAAGCTGCATATTTTCAGTCTGGGGAAGGAAAATGAATGCAGATGGGTTATTTACTCCAGCTGACTCATTTTAAGAAAACGGATGTTAAGTGGCTTGTTCAATCCTGACAGCAATGAAAACTGGAACTAAAATAAAAATCCAAAGCCGAACGGTGTGTATGTTCATTATTTGTGAGAGACACTGATAAGAGAATAACTCTCATAAACACGGTACAGCCTGGAGCATACTGAATTGTAGATTTGGAGTTCTTAATTTCTGGTCTCTCTCTCTCTCTCTCTCTCTCTCTCTCTCTCTCTCTCTCTCTCTCTCTCTCTCCTTTCCCTTCTGCCTTTTTTTAGGTTTAGTTTTTGTTTTTGGTTTACAGTATGTGAAGGGATCTGTTTTCTGTTCTGGGACTTCCTGGATTGAAAGGGCAGAGGAACAAGCCTCATCCTGATATGAAGCCCAGAAGACTAAGGGTTGAGAGGTACAGAGACAGGGAGCTAGTCTTACCCTTGGAGGTGAGGTGGAAAGGAAAGTGATAGAGCTGAGATAAACTTCAAGTGTCCTTCTGTTGCTAAGAAGCCCCAGATGCCCCTTGACCTCTAGTCCTTGTCCCCTTAGGACAAATATATGAGGATGAAGAAGGACTGGAAGAGGATTATTATTATCAGATGATGTATAATTACACAGTCACCCCCACTTATGGTGAGTATTTATAAGGCTCTGACCCTTAGCAGGATGGAGAGAGGTTTAGGGGATACTTAGTTCTGAAACAAAGTCTTTCCCTTTGCAATAGAGCAACGGGGTCAGAGAAATTTTGCTATGAGCAGACTATCGAGGCTCATGATGTTGTTTCTCAAGATAGCAATTTCCAGTTCTTTGGAACTGGTTGAACAATTTGAAATTTTTCAAATTTGGAAATTATTTTAGGTGTTAGATTGAAAATATAAATGCTCTTGTGGCTCAATTGGTTAGAGCATCGACCCATACACTGAAAGGTGGTGGGTTCATTTCCTGATCAGGATACATACCCGAGTTATGGGTTTGATCATCAACTGGGACACATACAGAAGACAACCAATGGATATTTCTCTCTCACATCAATGTTTCTCTCTCACTCTAAAAAAAGAAATAAAGAAAATATAAACACATTCACAGACATTTCTCACATTCAAGTTTATTAGAATTAGATTATACCAGTAAATTTTACAACTTGAACAAGTTGAAGTGTTCTGAGCAATTTCTTCAGCTTTTCATTACTAGAGGTAGTACTACCGTTCTCTTTTGTTACTACTGATTGTTTTCTCCTCTCCAGATCCAGATTATTTTGGTGCAAATTTCACTGTTGATTACTCCATATTTGAGTTAGAGGACAGACTGGTAAGTGACATCTAAGAGGATCAGGAGAGATAACAGTTAAAAAGAAACTGAACAATGTTGAAATGAAAATTATTAACAGAAATGAAAATGAGTTAGGAGAAGTGAACCTGGGGAATGGATACAAAACAAATGTGTTATCATAGCTAGGGAAGAGAAGCCAGAACCCAGTAGGTTAAGACACTAAGAGGAAGGAGTAGCCCTTGAGTCCAGGGAATTGGTGAATGGGATGGGTACACAATCCTTGCAAATGCAAGGTAAAGAGGATCCCCGCGCTTAACTCTTGGAGGGTGAGCAGGATGGGGCTGGGGACAGGAGAAGTGAAGGAGAGATGAATTCTAGAGAATCAATGAGGATGTTGGATGGAGGTGATGATTGATAACTCTTAGTTTTCTAATCCTACTGAGGATAGAACAGGTTGGATAAGGAGGTAACGGAAGCAGAAGAGACAACCATTATTCATGAAACAGAACGTGTAGACCATCAGAGGCCTGTAACAGTGAAATCAGTGACAGTGGAACCAGTGACAATGGAACCAGTGACAATGGAACCAGTGACAATGAAACCAGTGACAATGAAACCAGTGACAATGGAACCAGTGAGTTAATTGGGGATAAGATGGGAGGGACATGAGACATCCCTTACCCTGGATAGGTCCCAGGGCTGGTGACATGGAACAGAGGAAGGAATGGAATACCAGGCTTTGGTGGATGAGGAAAACAAATAACTAGTATTGCAATGCAGGTGTTCATCTCAGCTTCGCCATCATTTCTTTTACTGAGATTTAATACTAACCCTGTATACAGAACCCTGGGAATATTTAGTGCAGTTAAATTTCAGTTGGATGTGTAACGTATGTAACCTATGCCTAAAGCAGCTAAGGATGCTGCCAATGATGAAAAATAAATCCACGGTGTTATTGTCCTCAAAGTATTTATGATACCCAAGTTTACACTTATAAAATATTTAGAACAAAATGAGCAAATTTATAACAATGTTAAGTTACATACAAGTTTGAGAGCATATGATGTAGACAAGTGCTTTAGGCAGTGGAAGGACAGAGATCAGTACAGGAGTTGAAGACTTTTAGAAGGTGATTATGCTGAGATACACTGAAGAATAGGTGAGCTTTTGATTGGTGGTACATTATAAAAGGATGAAAGCAATTAGGAAGAATAGCTATTAGAAGAATGGAAGAGCTGCATTAACTATGGGGATAGAACAAGCATGACATGTTTTGTAGAGGAGCCTATGATTGAACGAGAGGGTATATGGAAAGGAGCAGTGGGAAATTAAGAAAAAAATAAAATTTACAAGACTCTTAATATTTGTTTGATAATTCCACAAATGGGAAGATAGGACAAAATAATAAGAATCTGAAATGTCAGGCTTTATTTTTTTAAATAAAAAAAGTTTGAACTTACAAGAAATAGGGAGCCTAGTAAGTTCTTCAGGGTGGTAAAGACACATTAAAAGCAGCATTTTAGAAAAACTATTTGTCTAGTTGTACACAGGATGCAATGGAGTGAAGAGAGATTCATGAGATTTCTATCATCCCCAAAACAATCCATTAAAAGCTTGGACTAGGGAAGGCAGTGGCATTTTGAATGGAGAAGAGAAAAAGAAATACTTTGGGGGGGAAAATACCTTGTTTCAGTGATAATTTCATATGAACACTAAATGAGTAGAGAGTTAAAATAACATATTTTAAACATGGATATCCAGGGAAATGGTTGACCAAAATGGGAAGTGGGAGGTCAGAGGGTTTTAGAAGTGGTTATAAATTTGGTATTGGCCAAGCTGAACTCATGTTGTCAGCCCTCTGAGGCTATCGTAAAGGTAGTGGAATTAAAAGAAAAGAAGATTAAAAAAAAAAAAAAGGTAGAGGAATTAGGCCAGGACTGCAGTTCTAAGTGCAAAGTCACAGTTACGAAAGTAGTGAGCTCAGTAGAGCTGTACACACAGGAGACCAAAAGGCCAATGCCTGTGCCTGTAGAAGGTGAAAGAGGAATCAACCAAGGAAAGGCAGGTAGCTAAGTTTGTATTATAGAGTCTAGAAGAGAAAGTTTAATATAATCAATGAAAAGCTACCAAGAGGCCAAGAAGGACATTATTCATAACCCCCAAAAAGCAGTTTTAAGTGAGTGGTTGGAGCAAAAGCTAGACTTTGTGCAACTGGAGAGGGAGTACATTGTAAGGAAGAGCACAGACCAACCATTTGTGATATCTGGCAATGAAATAAAGAGAAGCAACAGGACCGAAGTACAGCCTGAATACAGTTGAACACAGATGGGGGGAATGGAAAGTTATAATTGACGACAAGGACAGAGAAACATTTTAAAGTATATAGTAGGCTTCCTTTAGATTATAAACTCCTTGAGCAGGAGCCATGTTTTAACCATATTTATATCCCTCCTATAGCATGTAGCACAGGGACCAGCACATAAATAAAAATACATATTGAATTGAGTTGAACCTCCCTGGTATGGTCAGGAATGGGTGAAAGGCACAGAGGAAAGAATTCTTTATGGTGCTGGGATGGAAGGTATGCTCAGAGGAAAGGAAGACATAAGTTGGTATAAAGAGATGGCTATCTTTCCAGATGGTGAGGGGGTAGTAGGAAGGATGACACTGGCCTACTATGGCGTGATATCTCTATTTTAGCAGAGTCCAGATATGAACCATGCTGTATCCAGTCTGCAGAGTCCTGTTTCCCTTCTCCTGTCCTGGACCCTCCTTCAGGAGTGGATGTATTTCATGTAGAAGGTGAGAGTGCAGCCACTGGCCTTGATAAAGTCTGTGAAGCAATTTTTACCACTATCTCTGGCTAGTGTTTCCAGCCTGGTCAATTTTCAAATGCATAAAAGAAGAGGGATCACATTTAGAAAAACCTTAGGAGATGTCGGGGCCAAGACTTTTGTAATAAGAATAATTAATTTCTTTGAACTGGAAGGATTTCAGGGCCCCCTAGAGCAGAAGCAGGTGGAATGGAGAAGAAACCTCTCCTGGTTCCCAGTCTGCCTTGAGTTATTAAAGGTGGTTCCAGCGTGATGGTAGTTTAAGGCATGGCAAGAGCCAGAGGGCAAAATGGGAGGGGCCCTATAACCTGGCAGAGTCAAGAGGCAAAGTTCAGAGACAGAAGGGGTGGCAGTTCCCTAATGTAGGGGAGAGGTGGTGGGGGAAAGGAGGAGGGAATAGAAACCTGTGTTATAAGGAAGGGATTTAAGTTGGGATTCTAAATAACTATGGGGCAGTGGGGGGGGGGTGGGCAAGGGGGGAAATAAATAAATAAATAAGGGGCATGAAGAGATTTAGCAGAAGGAAGGGGTGAAAAGGGGAGGGGACACATCTTCCAGGAGATGTCATGGAGAAATATAGCTCAGAACATGAAATCTGGGGCGTTTTCATAGAGGTGGGGCATGGAGGGGTTTCCTGAGTCCCCTGAACCTGGTTGGTATTGTTTTCCTTTTTTTTTTTAGGATGAGAATGCTGTTATGACTCTTTGGATGGGGATTTGGGAAGAAGAAATTGGAAAATAAAATAAGTGAAATAATCTGGTTACTCTCTACTCCTTCATGAGGGTCTGTTCTAAGGCTACAACACTAAAGGAAGCACCAGGATATGGGGGTGGGAAGGGTAGACTAGAAAGGGAGTTAGGTGGCCCAGCAGGTGTGGCTCAGTGGTTGAGCATGGACCCATGAACCAGGAGGTCAGGGTTGGATTCCTGGTCGGGGCACATGCCAGGGTTGTGGGCTCCATCCCCAGTAGGGGATGTGCAGGAGGCAGCTGATCAATGGTTCTCTCTCATCATTGATGTTTCTAACTCTCTCTCCCTCTCCCTTCCTCTCTGAAAACATAGTTTTTAAAAAATATATTAAGCCCTAGCCGGTTTGGCTCAGTGGATAGAGTGTCAGCCTGCGGACTCAAGGGTCCCGGGTTCGATTCTGGTCAAGGGCATGTACCTTGGTTGCGGGCACATCCCCAGTAGGGTGTGTGCAAGAGGCAGCTGATCGATGTTTCTCTCTCATCGATGTTTCTAACTCTCTATTCCTCTCCCTTTCTCTCTGTAAAAAATCAATAAAATATATTTTAAAAAATATATTAAAAGTAAAATGTTTTTTAAAAAGGGAGTTAGGTGACTATAGTATCAGGACTGTGAATAAACCTTAAGTTTGGGGAAGAAAGGAGAAAAGCACCCTCAGACAACAGGTTTATTCACAGTCTATGACTCCCTCTGATTCTATTGCTTTATTAGATTATATATGGTGTTAAAACTGTGTTTGGGGATAGTTGAAATTAGTTTATTTAGAACCCTTGTTTTCCTTTTATAAAATAAGCCTATTGTTAAACATATGTAAAATATAAAATACTACTTAGAATAGATAAAAATTTCACACCCTCCTCCATTCCTCCCACCCCCCCCAACAATGTGCCTTTTCCAATTAGTAATTAGGGCAGGCAGGGACATTAATTTTTTTTCTGTCCTCGAGACCCTAATCAAGACTGTGCTGCCCCCTTGCGGTCTCTCCTATGTTACAGCTTCAGTCCGCTTACAGTCCCTGAGTCCCTATCCCCTTCTCTCCCCACGGTACCGTTTCAATACTGCAAGGGGCAGCGAACTCCGGACTTGGCACCCTCCTTCAAAGCCTTTCGAACTTCTCTAGGGGACAAATGGAGAAACTGAAGCCAGACAAACACCTCATCTGGAAGATCAGGGGCCTCCCCACCCCCCCACGTTCCAGTGCTAGGAATCACAGAATTCGGGGTGCGGAGCCGGAGGAGCCCGGGTAGAAAGGCCAGGAACAATCAAATTCGGCTTTGACCTCTGGAGTCGTGGCGGGCTGGCATCTGAGCTAGTAACGTGCACGGCGGTTATGTAAGGGAGGAGCCGCCCCAGCGGGAGCCCGAGAGAGAACGCGGTGTTCTCGGCGGCAGTCCCCACCCTCCCCACCCAGCAGGGCAAGAGGCACCCAACTTATAGGAGAAAGAGGAGGGGACGGCGAGACAGAGACGGCGGAGTAACGAGGGCTGGGCAGCCGACAGGGGGCGAGGCTACACGGCGGCACGCATACATTAAGACACACATTGCAGATGCCAGTCGCTGTTGGCTCCACGTGCTTCACCCGTGAGCGGAGGCGCTCAAAGCGGGGGCAGAGGGGCCGGATCCCGAGGAGCCGGGAGTCCTACATCTCGAGGCGTGCGCCTCAGGTCACGCAACCATTCAGCACACCCCGGCCACGCGTTTCCGGCGCACCACCATCCTATTTAAGGCCACGGCTTCCGCCCTTTTCCTCCCCTCCCTTCTTTTCCAGTCTTTTTCCATCCTCCTCCTTTTCTCATCACCGGGTCCTCTCCCCGAGCCGCATGTAGGGGCGGGGCACGGAATGCTGCCCTTCCAGCCAATCGTCACCTGACCGCCTCTCTATTGGCCGAGCCCCTGTGTGCTGTAGCCAATGGGGTGAGACTGTCAGTGACTGTGGTCACGTGCCACCGGCGAGCAGACCAATGAGGGGACGAGGTCTGTGTACGCAGGGGGGAAGGCACGTGCGGAACTGCACGTGTCTGGGAGGGGCAAGGGGCGGGACCCCCTGGGAGGGAGGCGGAGGTGGGGAGCCGCGACCGGAGTGTGCGAGGAGCTGAAGACAGCCCGGGCTGAGCCGGCCGACACAGGTGAGGAGACCAGGACGGAGGACGGGGAGCTGCGCGGGAGGATCGGCCCGAGAGAGAGTAGGTGTAGGGACCTCTTGGTATTGGGAGGGATCGTATCACGTGGCAGAGGGACCCGAGAGGGTCCGGAGCAGGAAACCTGATGAGAAAGACAAGGAAGAGGCAGGTGGGGGTGGGGGGGGGGAATGTCTCTATGGGAGGGGTTCCTGCAGAGTCACTAGGTGGGTTCCGGTGCCGGAGCTTTAACGCTCCCGGGTGGCGTGACGTCCGATGGAGAGGCTCGCTGCGGAGTCAGGCTCGGAACTCATCAGGCGAACCATGGGCCGGGCCGGGGAAGGTGTTAAGTCAGGTATTTGCTCTTGAAATGAGGGAAGAGAGAACAGAAGTCCGTCGGGCTAAGAGCTGCTCTGCCGAGGCCAGAGCGGCAGTTCGGGTTCTTAATGGAGGCTGGGGAGATGGCTTTTACGATGGCCCTGAGGCAGGTAACATTGGCGAGGCAGAGAGGAGAGAGGATTGTCCCGCTCCGCACACCCCAGCCGTCCAGTCCATTTCCTGATTCTCGGATTCTGGTTTCCAACTCCTTTGCTTTGCTCTTCAGTTGCAGGTCCGATCTCTGGGTACTCCAGGAGCTGCTCTCCAGCCCCTGCTTCTGAACCTATGGATTCTCCATCTAGCGTTTCCTCCTATTCCTCCTCCTCTCCCCCTTCCTCCTTTTCCACCTCCCCGGTGAACAGTGACTTTGGCTTCCCCTCGGATAGTGAGGGGGAGGAGAAGGGGGCCCGTGGCCCCAGGCCGGACACTGTTGGGCAGAGGGGAGGCTCTCGGCCCAGCCCCGGTCCTATCCGCTGCAGGCAACGACCCAAGGTTTCCAGGAACCAACGTACAGCATCTCACTCGGAACAGCGGGGCTTGGCTTCTCCTATGGCAGGGTCTGGGGTCAAAAGATCAAGAGATCGCCGTGCATTGGAGACCAGTCTAAACACCCGTGGTACAACCACAGAAGGAGACCTGCTCTTTGCTCAGAAGGTAAGAGAAAGCTGAGGGGGGTGGGGGGGGAGCAGATACTACTGGGGTGTCTTGGCACCCTGCTACTGGTAAGGACCCGGTGAGGATAGTACTGGCTCCCGGATTTGGAGGTGGAAGAAGAATCAGTGCTGGTGTAAGCAATGCTCATAGCCTTCCTCCCGTTTTTCTACAGTGTAAAGAGCTCCAGGGATTCATACGTCCTCTCACAGACCTCCTGAATGGGCTGAAGATGGGTCGCTTTGAAAGAGGTTAGTTGCATTCATCCAAGCTAGGTTCACATCTCTCGCGTTCCCTCTCTCCTCTCTCTTTGAAAATCTGTTTTAAATATGTATTTCTCGTAAGTCTTTGTTTGGGTCTTGATTATTCCTTTTTTTTTTTTCGGGGACTTAATTTCTGTGGGTGAATCCATTTTAACCCCCTGCTGTCCTTCTTTTCTTTACCTGACTAAATTCTTGAATTCCAATCCTTGATCTCTTTCTCACTCCCTGAACCCAGGATTGAGCAGTTTCCAGCAGAGTGTGGCAATGGACAGGATCCAGCGTATCATAGGTGTTTTGCAGAAGCCACAGATGGGGTAAGTTCTTCTGGCTCTTTCCTCGGTACATCATTAAAAAGGAGGTATTTTCAGCCCTGTCATGTTGCTTCTTTCACATTTAATTGTGTGTTGTTGTTTTTTTAATTTCTTTTTCACAGGGAGCGTTATCTGAGAACTCTGCTACAGGTAGAAGGAATGCTAAAGACTTGGTTTCCTCACATAGCTGCTCAGAAGTCATCATTGCGCAGTAGCAGGCATCAGCTGACCAAGGTAAGAATCTATAAACCTGAGGAAGAGGTGGGAAATTAACCAAGGAAATGAAGTGTACAATTAGAAATGGGCTTCCTCTTCCATTTCTTTCTGGGTCTTTTTTATCTTTTCGACAAGTTCCTTTTCAGGGAAGGGGAAAATGAAACTTCCTTTATTGTCTTGATTCCTAGATGTTATTTTTGTTCTGTCACTTCAAAGGATTTCGTGAGGTTTAATCCTACCCCTCAGATGGCAGCTTATCTGCTTTTTGCATAGATATAGAAGGCTTTTTACCTGGCCAAATGATTCAGGTCGGAAGGTGTCTCACTCCCTGAACCCAAATCCTTTTTCTCTGCAAATCTTTTTTTTCTCTGCTGCCCCTAAGATGCTTTCCTTCTCCTTTTTATTCCTACCCAAGTATGGTCATACCAGACCCTCTGGAAGCATGGGTTTAATGGACTGGTCATAAGTACATCACTGGGAGAGAGGAGGGCAGCCCTGGAGCACTCATGGGGGCTTGTTAGAGCCTTAGACCTAGTGTGGAAGTGAACTATTTTCTGGGCCTTCAAATAATAGGGCATTTAGGGGCACTCGAATGATAGGGAGGAGAAAGTTTCCTGTAGATAATAGACAGGCCTTGTTTTCAATCAACCACAGTTATCACCGTGAGAATAATCAATTTTAAAATAAGCCATCGGGTAGCTCAGGTGGTTAGAGCATCGTCCCAATATGCCAAGGTTGCAGGTTTGATCCCTGGTCAGGGCACATACAAGAATCCACCAATGAATGCATAAATAAGTGGAACAGCAAAGATGTTCCCTCTCTCTCTTGTTCCCTTCCTCTCTCTAAAAAATCAATTAAATTTTAAAAATTATTAAAAATAACTGGGAGGAAAACAATGAAATCTTACCATTTACAATAGTATGGATGGACCTAAATAGTCTCAGCATAGTACAGCATAGGGAATATAGCCAATAGTATTGCAATAACTGTGTAACTGTGTAACATAATACACCTAAAACTAATACAAAATAATGTTGAATGTAAACTGTAATTTAAAAATAAAATTTTAAAAATAAGCAGGAAGATCTTGCCTGCATATTAATTTATACTTCTTAAGGCACTCAACATAGGAAATTAGAATTTAAAATACAGAAATGGGAAATGATTCCAATGAAAAGAAATTAAAAATGAATTATAAGTAATAACCCATAGAACTGTTTTATTTGGTATATGTCTGAATATCTAGTGCCTAATATAGTGTGTGGTACATAGTGGGCCCTCAAGTATTTGTTGAGTAAATGAAAATATAATTTGGTTACTAAAACTTTTACTTAATTATGACCTGGCAGGAAATTATCTGTTGCATAAAACAAGGTATGTTTGCTTTGCAAACAGTTCCCAAGGAAAGCAAAGGTTTAAGTAACCAGGTAGAGTTCATCTGAAAGTTTTCTCATAATTTCTTTTCTTTTCTCCCCTTCCCTAGCATTGTCTAAGCCACCGCAGTTATCCAGCTGCTTCCTCTCCTGCACCTTCTCTGGAAAAGATGGAACAGACACAGCTAGGACATCTGGTATTAAAACCAAAGCAGCCTTGGCATCTCCCTCAATGGCCAGCTATGAACCTCACTTGGATCCACACCACTCCAATTTGCAACCCCCCTCTCAGTACTCCAAGTACTGTCTCCTTTAGCCAGGGTCCTTTAGGCACTGGAACCAGCATTGGTGTCATCTTTTTCCTTCAGCATGGAGAGCAGCCTTTTACCCACTCTGCCCCGACCAGTCCAGTTCCACCTACTACAGCATCTCCTGCCATCCCTGGTTATCCTAAGAAACTATCTGGAGAGAGACCTCGTTGCCACAGTTTGCCAGTAACTCTGCAATCAGACTGGAGCTGTCCCCTGTCCCCTCGTGATCTTCCCACCATGGCCAGAGAGAAGACTGTGGGACACCTAGAACAAACGAGAAGCCATCCTCCAGTTGCTCCTGATGTCCATCCTCTCAACCCCTAATCCAAGACTTGAGACTGTAGTTTCTAATTTGTATAAATATATGTCTGTACATATATATGTGTGTGTATGTATGTATGTGTGTGTGCGTGTGTGTGTATTACTTTTAATGTGTGCATTTGTGTTGAGGGAAGAGAAATCCTTTCTGATTAAAGAAATTTTATACCTAAACAGTTTGCTGATTGGGGGGGAATTGAAACCTTCTGTTTCAAATACCAATATTTATCCTCAATGCTGCAGAAAAGAAGGAAGGGGATGGGCAGGTTTGTGAAGTCGAGCTCCACCAAGTGGGAAGTCTGGATGGGACAATGTAAGTCCTGTGGGAAAGGAAGAGGGACTCTGCAGCTGGCTTCCTAGGGAACAGCCTTGGGACAGTTACAGGGCTCAGAGTTGGCTTTGTTTTTTTCATTCGGGCTCAGAGAATAGTACCTTTCCCTTTGTGTCTTTCCCTCTTGTAATCATCCAGCTGGCCCAGATTAGCAGGTTCTTCTGCTTTGCAATAGCTCTTTGCCTTGATGGGAGCTGTTGATGCTTGTGGATAAATGATATGTAATCTGCTGCCAGAGGTGGGACATAAGAACCAGAACAGGCACTGTGGTTGCCAGTTTTGAAGAGAAGGGGTGCCCTAGAGTTGTTAGAATGGGGAGTCCCCTCAGACACTGGGCCTCATCTTTAATAAAAAAGCTGCAGTTAAAAAAAAAAAAGCAGTTGCTAAATGTAAAGGGGTGGGCAAAAGTATGTTTACAATTGTAAGCATGGGAAACAGTTTATTGTATTATTATTGTATTAGTTATTATGAACAATTATCAACCTACTCTTGCCCACCTCTGTATGTTGGACTAAGGAAGGCTACCTATCCAGTGTTACCAGGTAGCAAAAATGAAGTCTATGAAGTTACCTATATATCTCCTCTCTGTATAGTACTCTTCCTGATTTGTCTCACTTTCCACCAAAACCATATCCTCTCCCATTCTAAGTCTTGACTGTGTATCAGACTACACAGTCATCTTAGTTATTGTTTATTGGCTATTGAGTATGTTCCTCACAGCTAGTTCTATGTCTTTCCCCTACGTCTCAAGTCCTCTTTTCTCAGTGAATAATTCTTTCCTTTTATTTCAGAGAACATGACCTCCTTTCTAAAGCAAACCTCTCCATTTGTGCTTTTGGTTACCTTTCACTTCTGGAACTTCTGCTATACCACTTATTCTAACCTTTTTCTCTTGTAACTTCAATTTGTTATTGAATTATTCTTTATCCTGCACGTTTTTAAAAATGTTTTTCTTTATTGATTTGAGAGAGAGAGAAACATCAGTGAGAGAGATACATCAATTGCCTGCCTCCCACACGCCCCCTACCCCCACCCCCTGGGGATCGAACTTGTGACTCCTTTGTACATGGGGCAATGCTCAATCCACTGTACCACCCTGGCCAGACTCTCCTGTAAGTTTGATCAGGTTCCCCCTTCTTGAAAACCTCTCTTGAGCCTGACTGTCTTGTTTTTCTCTCCGTACTTCTTGACAGAGTGGTCTAATCATACTTTCTGATTCCCTCCTACCACTCAGCCCTTAACCTCTTGTAGGCTAGCTTCTACTCACACTCCACTGCACCTTCCCAGGTCACTAATGAGCTCACAGAATCAGAGTATTACAGTGTAGCTTCCACCCAATCAAGAGCTAGATCCAGGGGGCCTTTACGAAGGCTATGTAGTTCATGCTCCCTGTGTCATTTGACACCCTGGATGCTGCCTACTGAAACTCTCCTCCCTCGGATCCCATGACACTAGCCTGATTCTCCTCTTACCTATCTGGCAACAACTTGGATAACTCTAAATGGCACCACTTCTGCCAATTCCAGAGCGTGGGTGTTCCCCTAGGCTCACACATTGGCTCTTTATTCTTCTCTGACAACATCCTTTCACTAGAGGTTTCATCCTCATGGCTATAGTTATTGCCTCAATTTTAGAAGACTGCAAGAACTTCATCTCCAGTCACCATCTTTCACCTGAGAGATGACATAATGAATGTCTAAGTTCCTGCTGGAGAGTTCTATTTACATATTACTAGCACTTAAAACTTATTAAAAATTTCAGCATTTTCTATCCAAGAGGTACCATTTGTATCTGATCAAACCCCTTCATTTTATAGATGACAAAACTTAGGTGCAATTGGATTATAGTCTGGTGCTTTTTCTAGTGCTCACCAATGCAAACATTATATTTCCTTTAAAGATGTTCTGTTCTGCCTTCTTACAGTCTCTTTTTCTTCTGTTAGTGCTATCTATCTACCATCATTTTTCCAGATAACTAGGCTTAAAACTTGGTGTTGTTCAGTCATCAAATCCTTTTTATTCTGTATTTGGAATATCTCTTAAAATACATTTCTTCCCATTCATTTCATTGCCACCTCTCTGATGTAAATTTTGGCTATAGCAATAGTCTTTCTTACCTCCAGTCCCTTCTCACGATAACCAGATAAATTTTCCTAGAACAATGCTTTGAGTGTCATTCCCTATTTAAATTCTCCAATGGCTCGCCAGTGCTTTACGATGAAAGTCCAAAACCTTTAGTCAGGCTCTCTATTTCCCCCCCTGCTCTCCTGTGTGATCCCTCTGTTCCAGTTTTCTTATTTGACCCTGAACACTATAAGCCTTTTTAAAAAATATGATTTTAGAGAGAGGGAAACACTGATGAGAGGGAAACATCAATCAGCTGCCTCCTACACGCCCTTGCATGCCCCCTACTGGGGAGCATGCCTGAAACCTGGTCATATGCCCTGATCAGGAATGGCACTGGCAATCTCTTGGGACATGGGACAACATTCTCAACCAACTGAGCCATAAACTGTAAGTCTTTTTGCCTCTCAACTCATATTCATGCTGATTACTTTGTTCAGTCTTTTCTGGTTCTGTTAACTAAACCCTACCCTTCTGTCAGTGACTAACAAGTCTTTCTCCCAATTACTCTCTCCATTAAACATTGTATATAGGCTCAGCCTTTGGCCCATAAAATGAGATCATGTACAGGGTTTGGTATATAGTAGGCCCTCAAAATATTACTTTCCCCCTTTATTTCAAGGTATTTTTATATTTTATTTCATTTGATTCTCAACAAATTTTGTGTGATTGAGGGCAAATATCAGTTCCATTTTACATATGAAGAAATAGACTGGAGGTTTAAGTCAGGAATCAGCAAAAGCCAAATAGTAAATATTTTAGGCATTGTGAGCCATACATCTCTGTTGCAACTATCCAACTCTGCCATTGTAGCCCAAAGCAGCCATACCTAATATATAAACAAATGAACACAGCTGTGTCCCAATAAAGGTTTATTTACAAAAACACTGGTGGAGTTGGATTTGACCTGTAGGCAGTAGTTTGCAGACTACTGGTTTAAGGGACTTGTTCAAGGTCATATGCCTGATATCAGAATTTGAATAGAATCCAGATTTCCTGACTTCTAATCCAGTGCCTTTTCACCATATTATGCTGTAGCCTATATAACTTATTTTGCATTTATCATATGCTACCTTGTTTTATTATTTATCTTTTGTCTACGTACTGTTTTTTGGTGATCCAAAAGGTACTGGATGATATCAACAATACTTAGCACAGAGCAGGCGTTCAATAAAACTTTGTTGATAAGCATGATGTCCCAGTGTAGCTCTATTTGGGTATTTTGAACATGGCTTACTCTAAAGTAATTAGCATAATTGAGGAGGACGCGTGTAGTGTGTGTGTGTGTGTGTGTGTGTGTGTGTGTGTGTGTGTTGCACGAGTAACTCCTCGTTGGGACTTGCTTTCTTGTTTTGAGCCTTTCCCTACTATTTTCCAGGAGCCACTAGATCTGAACTGATGTGAATAGCCATAAATGGACATGTAGAAGTGATATACGAGTAAAAGAAAGGCTGTTTCCATAGTGAGAAAGAAAGAAAAAAGAGATATTTCTCTAGGTCTCACTAGGGGGCAAAATGACCTAAAAGTCTTCCATTCTAAACCCTGCAGGCGTTTCCCAATTCTTTATTTAGTGACGCGGCTGGCAAGATGATGTTATAGGAAACGCATGGTATGTTCATTTCGCTTCTTTTCAGACCAGTTTTTAGGCAGATGAGGGGTGTGACGCTGTTCTGCATCCGGAGAGCAGAGCCCAAAGAATCCGTGTTCGTTGCGACGAGAAAACAGGATGCATGCGCAGGGAGGTTCGCCCACTTCTTCCATTTTCCTTCGAGAGAGAGCGAGCGAGAGCGAGAGAGCGAGAGAGCGAGAGAGCGAGAGAGCGAGAGAGCGAGAGAGAGAGAGAGCGAGAGAGCGAGAGAGCGAGAGAGAGAGAGAGAGAGAGAGATCAATGGCTCGCGTACCTATTAAAGATTTTATCGTTTTACGGGGTAGGAATCGGGCTGATCTCCGGAGCCTTGGGACAACGACCTCCTCCGAAGGCGAGGGACTTGCTTACGGGAACGTAAGGCAACGGGTATTTTGCTTTGTCAGGCGCAGAGTCCGGCCCGGGGGTCTGGTGCGGACCGCGGGAGAGACCGTCAACCGGGCAAGAGAGAACGTTGCCATGGTTTCCGCGTTGGTTTTTCCCCCCTCTTCTTTCAGCCTGGATTTCCTTGCGCGGCGCCGGGATTACGCACTTCCGCTTCCGGTTGCGAGGGGGCTCGCGTCGGCTGGTGCGGTGGGCGCGGGGTGAGGAGCGGTGTCGGGCGTGGGGGTGGGGGGGGAGGCGGTGCCGCGGGAGGGCACGTTGGCGCGCGGTGGTCCCCTTTCCAAAGACCGAGAACGACCCCGAAACAACCCACCCCGGCCCTCCCGAGGCCGCGAGCGGTCCTGGGGGTGGGGGTGCGGCGCGGGTGCCCTCTCGACCCGGCCGCGGACATCTGCGCGGTGACACCTCGCTGCCGTCGCTTCGCTTCCCTGGCAGGGTTTGCACTGGCAGGAAGAACGAGGGAGTCTTGGCGAGGATGCGCGGTGACCTGTAGGCTCGGAGAACTTGCACGCGCCCTCTCTCGCTTATTTTTGAACGTGGCATATCCAGACACAGCAGAAGCCGTGCGGTAGAGTGTGCATTCGGGTGTGTTTCTCCTTCTTAACGTGGTATCTATATTTTCTTCCCCGTTTTTCCATCAGCCTCTAGGTCCCAGAGAGTGAAGACTTCATCCCAAGGTCATGGCAAAACACCTGAAGTTCATTGCCAGGACTGTGATGGTGCAGGACGGGAACGTGGAAGGGGCATACAGGACCCTGAACAGGTAGGTGTTAAAGGGCCAGAATCATGCCGAGACCAGCTCTCCTGACAAGTGCAGTGGCTGTTCTTTCCCTTCCCCTGTCATACCTTGTTCTCAAACCAGTGCCCGCCCAGGTGGTCACAGTCTTGAAACTTCCCAGCCTCTCAGGACCTGAATTCCATCCAAGGCCTCAAATAGGGCCCAAAGGGGAAGTCAAGTTATAAAGTTGCCAGGAGGCAGGAACCGAGGACGTGGTTCAGAGAAAGCTCAGGGAGGGAACGGTGTGGGACAAAGCTAATGGAAAAGGTGAATTCAGAGTTGGAATCTTGGAGAATCAAGCAAGAGAGGAAAAGTGTTACAGGTTTAGAGGAAGGTTACAGCAGAAGCAGGAGCATAGAGATGGAAGTGAACTGGCTGGAGTGGAGGAGCTGTATTGAAATGTTTTTATTTTTATTTTTATTTTAAAATATATTTCTTTATTGATTTCAGAGAGGAAGGGAGAAGGAGAGAGAGAGATAGAAACATCAATGATGAGAGAGAATCATCCATCAGCTGCCTCCTGCACACCCCCTACTGGGGATCAAGCCCGCAACCCAGGCATGTGCCCTTGGCCAGAATCGAACCCGGGACCCTTCAGTCCACAGGCTGACGCTCCATCCACCAAGCCAAGCTGGCCAGGGCTTGAAATGTTTTAAATGCTAGTCTGAGAGATTTGAATGACCCTACTGAAGAAGGCCTTACCACTGTAGCTCCTCAAGCAAAGAGTTCCTTAGCCTCCCCTTGGTTATAAGTCTTAGACTTTCTGGCTATGCCTCATTCATCATTTTCTGTCTCCAGTGTGAAGCAGAGTTTGGAGAAACGAAGGTTTGTTGGGTTGAATTATCAAAGAATGGTATGAAAGAGATCTTAAAAGAGATTATATGAGGTGGCCCTCTACCTTAAGGCTAGCAAGGTGGTAGCTTTATTTCACAAGTCTAGCAAGATAAAATTATATTTCTTGGCCACACAGTTATTGAATGGTGGAGAGGAGTGTAAAACCCATCTTTCTAGTGCAGTGTTCTTTGCTCTATGTTACTAGACTGTTTACTAGTTTCTCTGGAAATGGAGAGACCTCTGATAGTCATTTTCCAGTTAGGAATCCTTATTTGACTGGGCTTAAATACTAGTGGGGTTCTTGGGGGCTGAGAGGGTAAAGGAGAGAGAACCTCGTTCTTAGCAAAGCGTGCTAGGTGCGATCGGCTGGATGGCGGAAGACCACAGTAAGTGGGGGCAAAGATGCTGTCAGAAGCTGTATAAGTGAAAAACAGTTGCCGGCTGAGGGTAGTTCATGTGTCTTTTCAAGGATTTGGTGTTGGGTCAGCCCCATGTCCTCATTCTGTGTCTGCATGCCATTCATATCCTTGGGCAGAAGTGGTTCCCTCTGCATTGTCACTTACATTGAGAGTAAAAATAGTCAGTGACATACCGGGTGATAAGATACCCTATTTCATTTTTCTCTATTACTGCTCATTCCCACCTCTCCTATTTCAGACCTTTGAGTGGCATGTGTTGTAGAAGCAGTCTGACAAAGGAAACAGCCTATGTGTCTGCCTAGTTAGATCGCCGTAAATGTTCATTACATAACCAAGGGCCCTCATGGGTGCCCTGCGATGAGGAGATAGAGAGTGTGGGTTGCTAGGAAGCCCTGCATGATTGGCTGGCCCCAAGCGAGGGAAGTTAAGCACACTGCACACATGCCCGGATGACCCCGTTTATTTCTGGTAGGCGAGCTTCTGGGCCCATTGAGTCCTTCTGCGTACACATTGGTCCTGACGTAGGCTAGCTACTTGGACATGTGAGTCTGCCTCAGCTCCTTTTACATAATCCCTTGAATTTCACTAAAACTGGCAGCTGATTTCTCCTTCAGTGTTATGTTGCCAGGCGCCTGAACTCAAGGCTGATCTGTTTACACTAAAGCTGTTCGTCTTCTAGTCCTTGAACTACCTTTGGAAGCAGGAACATCTTTAGTAACACCCTGTCTGTTTACTTCATGAGTTCTGCAAAGCTCTTCCCGTATCCTTTTTGTTAGAAATAAGTTGAGTAGATGCCTTTATGGTAGGAACTCAGGACCATTTGAAGATAATCTGTACTTTTTTTAGGATAACTAAAATCTTGGAACTTATTTGGTCTGTGTTCAGGAATTAGGTGGAATAGTCCCGGGAAAACCATTAGCAGTCCCCTAATTATGTTGTGGGCCACCGATCTTTTTGTTCTTTCCCCTCCTCCATTCTCATATTCTTCTGTTAGTTTCCTTCATGTCTTACTTTTTTGCCTCACCACAGGCATTTACTTGGTAAGATGACCACTTCGGTTCCAAACCCCTTTTGAAACTCCGGTAGGATACCTGAGTATGTCTACACTCTCTCCTCCCTTTGCAGTTCTCTTTCATCCTACTTTTAAACTGTCTTTGTCATTCCAGTAGGATCCTCTTCCAAAGTGAAGTCATATTCAGGGGTCCCTGTTCTTTTTATAGTCTATCCTCAAATCCAGTCTCCTTATCCTTTTTATATTATATTTCTAGTTTTTTCTCTCTGGGACTTTTTCCCATTTTTTTCTCTAATATACTAGGGTCTAGTTCAAAAAGTAGCCTTCATCAAACAGCAGTAAACAACTGAAGTAAATGCGTAGGTGTTTCCATGGTTACTTACATGTCAGTGTGCCATGTCTTGGCTTACATCTCTTGAATTAAGGAGCCTAGCCCAGCTCTTCCTCCTTCCTTCTTTCCTTTGCTCACGAGCACTGCAGTAATTTGTCTTCTGAACCTCAGTGGTTTTTGCTTGAGGAGCAGAATGCTGTTGTGGAGCACAGCACTAAAGACTGAATTCTACTTCTAGCTGTATTCTGTGATCTTGGGGCAGATTAGCCTCTATGAACTTCAGTTATCTAAAATCTAAATCTTAGCAAAGATAATATTATTGAGGCTTTCTGAGTCAGCATTTCCAAGAACTGTGTCTACTATAAAGTCAACCCCTTGAGCTGTGGACATTTGTCAGTCACCTAGAGGATTCATTTTTGTCATATATTTACTGATAAAGGCTTAATCTCTAACCTTAAGCAGCACACAAACCAGTAAGGGAGATGAAAAAAATAACAAATAACCACAGTTAAATATAATATTGTCTGATCAATATTTTAAAAGGGGCATTAACACTGCTATGGCATTGGTTTTCCCTGGACTTTCAGCAGCAACATCATCTGGGAACTTGTTAGAAATGCACATTCTTGCCCTAGCCGGTTTGGCTCAGTGGATAGAGCGTTGGCCTACGGACTGAAGGGTCCTGGGTTCGATTCCGGTCAAGCGCACATGCCTGGATTTCAGGCTCGATCCCCAGTAGGGGGACATGGAGGAGGCAGCCAATCAATGATTCCCTCTCATCATTGTCTATCTCTCTCTCCCTCTCTGAAATTAATAAAGAATCTATTAAAAAAAAAAAAGAAATGTACATTCTTGGGCTCCACCCAAGACCTATGGAGTCAGAAACTGGAGATGGCACAGTAGCCATGTCTCCAATTGTGTTTATGACTTCTTATATGTAATGAAAGGGCAGGGAAGGCAGGAATGGAACCACTCAAACAATGCCAGGAATGGAGGGCAGCAGCAGCGGGTGCCTCCAGATCTCCTCAGGGTTGAGAGGGAGACACAAATTACAGATTGGAGCCAGAGCTCTCCGGAGCATAGGGATTAGATAGGTTATAGAATAAACCCCCATGTCTTCCTGGCTCAGTGAAAACAAAGAGGTGAGTTTGAGTTAGGCATGTTCTAAATCCAGCAGGAGAAGCTGCATTGCAAGGAATTGGGGGGAGGAAGGGGGAAAACAGATTGAGCTCAGTTTTATGGACACTTAAAGATTAATAAAATGTGGTTTCTACCTTTGAGGATTTTCAGTCTAATAAGGGAAATATTTGTATAAGTAACGGAAGGGCAGAATGAAATAGTTGCTAAATAGGTCTACAAAAAAGTAAATGATTGTGTAATTAATTGCTTTTTTATTCCCCTCAAATTCCTATTTGGGGTCTCTATAAGTTGGCAGTTAATGCTGTATTGCCACCATTTCATACCCTAATTTTTTTTTAGAGAGAGAGAAGAAGGGAGAGGGACAGAGAGATAGAAACATCAATGAGAGAGAAACATTGAGCGGCTGCCTCCTGCACTCCCCCTACCAGGGATTGAGCCCACAATCCAGGCATGTGCCCTGACCGGGAATCAAACGGGTGACCTCTTGGTTCATGGGTCAGTGCCCAACCACTGGGCCACACCGGCTGGACCCTAATTTTTTACAGACATCAGTTGTTTGGTCAGTTGACTTCTGGCCATCTGTAAAATTGAAAAGGAATAATAATGAGCCCAAGCTTCTAACTTCATTGCCTGCCTTAATACAGAATCCTCACCATGGATGGGCTCATTGAGGATATCAAGCGACGCCGGTACTATGAGAAGCCTTGCCGCAGACGACAGAGGGAAAGCTATGAAACCTGCCGGAGGATCTACAACATGGAAATGACTCGCAAGATCAACTTTTTGATGCGAAAGAATCGGGCAGATCCATGGCAAGGCTGCTAAGGCCTGTGGATAGTAGGCCCAGTAGGAAAACACGTATCTGGTTGTATCTCCATCTCTTTTCTTTCTGCGACCCGTTTCTTGCAATAAACTCAATCACGTATATACAAGAAGGCCTGTGTATATTGAAATAATCCACTAGTCAGCAATGGACCCTCTCTTCTATTAAGTGAAAGAGAAACTGAGTCAAAAAATAGTCTAGGAATAGAGGGGCTGGTTGGCAGGGGGGAATGGGGAGTATTGTTCAGTGGGTAAAGAGTTTGAATTTGGGAAGATGAAAAAGTTCTGGAGATGGATGGTGGTTGCATAGTTACATAACAGTGTGAACGTACTGAATGCCACTGAATTGTACACTCAGGTGGTTAAAATGGTGTATTTTATGTTAGGTCTATTTTACTGTAATAATTTTTTTAAAGTAGTTTAGGAGAAGTAAGGAAATTTCATAATTGTAGTGGAATATACCAGTATCTACCATTTCCTACCCAACTTTTATGAAACACAAAGCAAGATCTTATTAGAAAAGCATCTGTTAATCTTGTTTTTTTTTGACAAGAGAAAATAAAATTTAATATCATGCACATGGGGACCCAACATACATGAGAGAGTCAGAGACCCTGCATACAGGAGAGATTTAGATACAGAAAGGGGAATTGAAGTATGTAAGACACCGAGTTAGAGATGAGGTAATGCATATTGCAGGATGATAAAAAGAACAGATTTTCAGTTAATAAAAGTGCCCTGCCATATAAGTGGGTCAAAAGGTTAGTACTGATAATCTCTTTTTATGGGCAAGGCCTTTAATTCAAATTCTTCTAAGTAATTAAGGGGGGGAAGGGGAGCAGAAATTTCTCCTGAGCCTGAAGCTAAAATTGCCTTCAGCTCAAAGTAATTTGCATACCACCCAGGCACATCCTGGGGTGGCTGGTTCTAGACCCCCACACAATTTTCCCATACCCTTGCCACTGTCATAGTCGTCTTCTTTTTCTTAAATCAATTTTAAATTTTTCAATTATAGTTGACATGTATTATTATACTAATTTCAGGTGTACACCCTAGTGATTAGACATATAATTTACTAAGAGATGATCCCAATAAATCTCATAATCATCTGACCCAATAAGTCATTAAAATATTATTGACTATATTACCTATGCTGTACTTTACATCCCCATGACTGTTTTGTGACTACCTATTTGTACTTAATCCCTTCACCTTTTTCACCCAGTACCCAAACCCCCTTCCATCTAGCAACCATCAAAATGTTCTCTGTATCTATGAGTCTGTTTCTGTTACACTTGTTCATTTATTTTGGTTTTTTAGATTCAGTTGTTGATGGAAATGTATTGGCATTTTATTGTTCATGTTTTTGATGTTTGTTTTCTGTTCTTTTTAAAAATATGTTTTTATTGATTTCAGAGAGAAGAAGGGAGAGGGAGAGAGAGAAAATCATCGATTGGCTGCCTCCTACAAGCCCCTTACTGGGGATCAAGTCCACAACCTGGCATGGGCCCTGACTGGGAATCCAGCTGGAGACCTTGATTACTATTGGCATGTCAGTGAGAGGGATTTACCCGCAGGCCAGTCAAGTTTACAACTCAATGTTGTAATTTTGATGTGGTTGTAGAAGGAACGAGTACATTTACCTACGCTGCCATTTTGACCGGAAGTCCCAGCCTCTGTTACTCTTTACTATACTGCCCCCCATTGTTAGGTAAAAGAAGGAAAGGAAGCTTGTATATATTTGGAATAAATTCTGCTTCTGAAATACCCATCAACCAGATGAGAGTGCTAGAAGCCTTGCCCAAAGGGATCCTTAAGACAAATGTAACATTCACCTCTGTTTTCCCTCTTTCCTTTAGTTTCCCTAAAGGAGGCTGATAGAGGGATGGTGGAGAAGTAATAAAGCAGTAGGTGAATGGTAATAAAGGAAATAGGAGTATTGAGAAATAGAAGGGCACTGAGCCAGAAATGCCCTCAGCAGCAGTCATCAAAGTGTGGTTTTCAGATCTGCAGTATTGACAGAAGCTAAGAAATTGTTTGAAATGTACATTCTGGGACCCAGCTTTAGACTTCTGAATTGGAAATTGGGGTTGGAGCCCAGTAATATAGTTTAACAAGCCCTGCAGGTGATTCTGATGCCTGCTAAAATTTGAGAACACTGTCCTGTAGTGCTCAAACGGGAGTCTAGACCCGTGGTCAGCAAACTGCAGCTCACGAGCCACATGCGGCTCTTTGGCCTCTTGAGTGTGGCTCTTCCTAAGCCTTAGGAGTACCCTAATTAAGTTAATAACAATGTACCTACCTATATAGTTTAAGTTTAAAAAATTTGGTTCTCAAAAGAAAATTCAATCGTTGTACTGTTGATATTTGGCTCTGTTGACTAATGAGTTTGCCGACCACTGGTTTAGACGGAGGACCCCACCACCTTCCCTGCCTTTCCCCAAAAGGCACTCCAGGGTCTGTGATTTTTTTTAAAAATAAATTTTTATTGATTTCAGAGAGGAAGGGAGAAGGAGAGAGAGAGAGAAACATCAGTGATGAGAGAGAACCATTGATCGGCTGCCTCCTGCACTCCCCCCACTGGGGATCGAGCCCACAACTCAGGCAGGCATGTGCCCTTGACTGGAATCAAACCCAGGACCCTTCAGTCCGCAGGCCGACGCTCTATCCACTGAGCCAAACCAGCTAGGGCCTGGGTCTGATTTTTAATAGCGCGGTGGGGGGGGGGGGGGTATCTGGCCCCTGGGAAGAACAGCTACTCTGCTTCCTCTCCTGGTTCCCCTGACAGCCATGCTGCTGATATAAGGAGAGTTGATGCTAACCCCCTGAAGGAGAACAGAGGGTAGGCAGAAGTTGCTAGCCCACCTCATCTCAACCAAGCCGCAGCTCTCAGCATGGTGTTTTAAAAAAAAGTAGGAGGGTGGGGGGGCAGTGGGGGGATAAGGACACATATGCAATACCTTAATAAAGAAAAAAAATTAAACAGCAGATTGCCAAGGCCACCCCGCCTCCAACCTCTCCAGATTGCTAGTGTCCACACATTGCCCCCTTGTGGTGTAGTCTTGTGGCTTCAGATTTCTGGCCTCAATTTTCTTTTCACTATCTTTTCTCCCTTTCACAAATACCACACTTATTGATAAAGCAGGCCTGCCAGAAGATATGCTGTAGCCATTGTTCTTGCCTTTCAAGGCTTGATCTCTCTTCCACTTGGCAGCTGTATGGTGAAGAAGACGTATTGCAGGGCATTGCACAGAAATAGCTTAGATCTGGGCCTTGCCCTCTGGAAGCTCACACTGTGGTTAGAGAAATTCTAGATACAGATAATCTTCGACTGGGTCACCTTTGTCTAACCTCATTTTAACAAGTTAATCAGTTAGGCTTTGATACTCCTGAATCACCTGTCAATCTCTGACTCTGGTCTTTACTACATCATTTTCCTATGATTTTGAGCATGGTGTCACCTCCTGCCAGTTGCTATTGGTGAAGAATGGAAGCCTGGCTGTTGCCAAAATGGTAGGATATGTTTGAGATAGAACCAGACCTGTTACTTTGCAGTATTCCTCTGAGGTAGAAGTTGCTTCTGAGCTCCCTCCAAAATACAAAGGGGTGACTAAGATCTATAATTTGTCTCTGAAATTACACCCTGCTTGTCTTAATCTCCAGTCCTGACCATTGCCCATGTCCCCCAGGGCAATGATGGGCTTTAGCAACTGGTCCATTGAGAGGCCTCATGTGTAAAGTGGGTATCTGGCCGGCTGGCTGAAGTTCTAAACAGCTCGTGTTGTCAGGGCAAGGAGAAAGACCTTCCACTCCCTGCTCGGGGAAGCTAGAAGATAGCTCGTGTTCATATAATGAGTAGGGATTGTCCTAATATATTTATCTCTGTATTGGGTTCAGAAGAGGGGTGGTTTGGTATTCACCCACTTACAAGGTGCTACATGCAATACCTCCTACCCTGTTCTTACGTACTTGTGACACTGGATTGCCTCTGGCAGGCCTGTTCCGATCACAATTTAAGGATCTTATGGTTAGTGCTCTGGAAATAGGTATCCCCTTAAAATTGAAACTGTTGAGTATCTAGATGAAAAGCAATCTAGGCATAAAGCAACAAATGCAACGACCTTGAGCTTGGCATTATTCTTTGCATGTCCAAGGAACAACAAGGGGTCAGGATTCTAAAGCTGAATGAGTGAAGAGTAGCAATAGATGAGATCACAGAGGTAATGGACTGGGGCACATCTTGGAGGGCACTTGACTCAGAGATATGGAAAGCCAGGGGGGATGGTTTTGAGCAGGGGAGTAATATGACCTTTTTAATGTGTTTAACATGCTCACTATAGTACCAGATAATTTACTTACGTTTTTGTGAGAGACTAAAAGGGGACAAAGTGGAAGCAAGAGAAAGCAGTTAAGCGACCACTAAAATAATCCAAGCATAAAAGTGATGTTAGTGAAGGTGGTGAGAAGCAGAAGAGTTTCTGTAAATATTTTGAAAAAAGGGCCAATGAAACAGGAGTCCAGGATGACTCCCAAGATTACTGGTCTGCATAACTGTAAGAATAGAGTTGCCAGTAACTGCGACGAGGAAGACTGTATTGGGAGCTGGAGTGTGTTTTCTTGGGGGAGGGGGAATCAATTCAGTTTTCATTGTGTAAATTGTTTACAGCTATGTAGTAAATATAAGTAATATATAAAATATCTATAATAGAGATGTCTATTATACATGTATATCCTGTATCCCGTAGCTTTATTGAGAAGCACTGTTTTAAGTGCATTGTTCTTAGTCACTCATGTTCTCACAGCAGCCCAATGAAATGGATTTTTTTTACAGGTGAGGAAATAGAGGGCTTCAGCGGTTCTCAACCTGTGGGTCGCGACCCATTTGGCGGTCGAACGACCCTTTCACGGGGGTCGCCTAAGACAATCCTGCACATCAGATATTTACATTACGATTCATAACAGTAGCAACATTACAGTTATGAAGTAGCAACGAAAATAATTTTATGGTTGGGTCACAACATGAGGAACTGTATTTAAAGGGCCAGAAGGTTGAGAACCACTGGCAGTAGTTTGCCTAATGTCACAACTAAGGAGCAGGAGAACTGGAATACAA